ACTCCTCAAAGTAGAGTCAACCTTAATGATGTGGATGGAGTAAAGTTTTTGGGACCTCCTTTTGTTGATTTGGCATGACTAAAATGGGAAGAAACAGCTGCAAACATCCATTAATAATTGGAACATGGAATGTACAAAGTATGAATCTAGGAAAATTGGAAATTGTCAAAAATGAAATGGAACACATAAAGATTGATATCCTAGGCATTAGTGACCTGAAATGGATTGGTATTTGGTATTTTGAATCAGACAATCATGATCTACTGTGCTAGGAATGACAAGTTAAAAAGAAATGGTATCACATTCATCATCACAAAGAATACTTCAAGATCTGTCTTGAAGTACAATGCTATCAATGATTCGATAATGTCCATACGCCTACAAGGAAGACTAGTTAATACTTTTATTATTCAAATTTATGCACCAATCGCTAGAGCCAAAGATGAGGAAACTGAAGATTTTTACCAGCTTCTACAGTCTGAAATTGACCAAATATACAATCAAGATGTATTGATGATTAGTGGTGATTGGAAAGCGAAAATTGGAAATGAAGAATCACTGGTAGTTGGAAAACATGGCCTTGGTGAAAGAAAGAATGCTGGAGAGTGCCTCATAAATGCGAGACTAATGACTTAGTCATTGCAACTACCTTTTTGCTACATAAATTGCAGCTATACACATGAATCTTGCCAGATGGAACACACAGGAATCAGACTGACTACATCTGTAGAAAGAGGTGATGGAGAAGCACAATTTCATCAGTCAAAATAAAGCCAGGAGCTGACTATGGAACAGATCATCAATTGCTCATATGCAAGTTCAAATTTGAAGCTGAAGAAAATTAATACAAATTCACGAGAACCAAAATATGGCCTTGATTACACCCCACCTGAATTTAGATAATCTGAAGAATAGATTTGATGCACAAATACCAATGACTGAAAACCAGACAAGTTGTGGGATTACATCAAGAACATCATACATGAAGAAAGCAAATGGTCATGAAAAATACAGGAAAGAAATAAAAGAACAAAACAGATATCAGAAGTGACTCTGAAACTTGCTCTTGAACTGAGAGTAGCTAAAGTGAATGGAAGAAATGACGAGATAAAAGAGCTGAACAGAAGATTTCAAAGGGCAGCATGAAAAGACAATGCAAAGTATTATAATGAAATGTGCAAAGACTTGAGTTAGAAAATCAAAGGGGAAGAACAGGCTTGGCATTTATCAAGCTGAAAGAACTTAAGAAAAAATGCAAGCCTTGAGTTGCAATACTGAAGGATTCTATAGGCAAAATATTGAATGATGCAGGAAGAATCAAAAGAAGATGGAAGGAATACAAAGAGTCACTGTACCAAAAGAAATTGCTAGACCTTCAACCAGTTCAGGAGGGGGCATATTATCAAGAACCAATGGTGTACTGAAAGAAGTAGTCCAAAGTTCCCTGAAAGAATTGGAGAAAAACAATTCAATGAGTATTCCAATTGATGGAATACTCATTGAATTGTTTCAACAAACAGGTGCAGCACTGGAGGTGCTTTCTTGTCTATGACAAGAAATTTGAAAGACAGCTACCTGATCATTTGACTGAAGAAGATCCATATTTGTGCCAGTTCCAAAGAAAGGTGATACAGTAGAAAGTGGAAATTACCAAACAGTATCATTAATATCACATGCAAGTAAAACTTTGTTGAAGATAATTTAAAAAAATGGTTGCAGCAGTATATTGACAGGGAACTTCCAGAAATTCAAGCTGGATTCAGAAGAGGATATGGAATGAGGGTTGTCATTGCTGATGTCAGATGGATCTTGATTGAAAGCAGAGAATATGAGAAAGATGTTTACCTGTGTTTTATTGACTATGCAAAGGCATTTTACTGTGTGGATCATTATGAATAACATTGACAAGAATGGGAATTCCAGAACAATTACTTGTGCTCATGAAAAATCTGTACATGGACCAAGAGGCTAATGTTCAAACAGAACAAAGGGATATAGCATGGTTTAAAATCAGGAAAGATGTGCATAAGGATTGTATCATTTCACCATACTTAATCAAACTGTGTGCTGAGCAAATAATCTGGGAGGCTGGACTATATATGAAGAAGAATGTAGCATTAGGACTTGAAGAAGACTCATTAACAAACTGTGATTTGCAGATAACACAATTTTGCTTGCTGGAAATGAAGAGAATTTGAAGCAGTTACTGATGAAGACCAAAGACTAAAGTCTTCAGTATGAATTATACTTCAACATAAAGAAAACTAAAATCCTCACTATTGGACCAATAAGCAACATCATGATAAATGGAGAAAAGATTCAAGTTGTCAGGGATTTCATTTTACTTGGATCCACAGTCAACACCTATGGAAGCAGTGACAAAATGAGACATCGTATTGCACTGGGCAAATCTTCTGTCTAAGAGGTCTTTAAAATGTTAAGCAGCAAAGATGTCACTTTGAAGACTAAGGTACGCATTGCCCAAACAATCGCATTTTCAATTACCTCTTATGCATGTGAAAACTGGATGAGGAATACAGAAGACCAAAGAAAAGCTGATGCCTTTGAAGTTTGGTGTTGGCGAAGAATATTGAAAATACCATGGATTGCCAGAAGAATGAACAAATCTGTGTTGGAGGAAGTGCAGCCAGAATGCTACTTGGAAGTGACAAATGGCCAGATTTCATCTCTTCTACTTTGGTCATGTTGTCAAAAGGGATCATTCCCTGGAGAAAGATATCATGCTTGGTAAAGTGGAAGGTTAGCAAACAAGGGGAAGATCCTCAACAAGGTGGATTAACATAGTGGCCGCAATGATGGGTTCAAGTATAGCAAAGATTGTGAGGATGCACAACTGGACAGTGTTTCCTTCAGTTGTAAGAGAGTTGCTATGAGTTGGAGTGGTCTAGATGGAACTAACAACAATAATGTGTGTGTGTGTGAGTATACATACCCACATTTGTGTATGTGTGTACATACCCACACATGTGTGTATACACAAAACAAAAAAACAAACTCACTGACATCAAGTTGATTCTGACTCATAATGACCTCCACTGGATTTCCAAGGTTGGAAATCTTTATGGAAGCAGACTGCCTCATCTTTCTTCTGTGGAACACCTGGCAGGTTCGAACCACTGACCTTTTGGTAGCAGCCAAATGCTTTAACCACTACACAACCAGAGCTCCTTATATATATATTTATAGATATGTATATGCATATATATATAGACACATGTATATGTTTACATATACATGTATATGTATGTACACACATGTATATGTATATACACATATGTGTATGTGTGTGCATATATTTGTACAAATGTATATATGTGTAAATACACACATGCATGTACATATGTGTGTACATATGCACACAAGTGTACACATGTACAAGTTATGCATGCATGCATGAAAACATAGGTGTGCATGCATATGTGCATGTGTATATGTGCATGCACACATACATATATGTACATGTATGTGTGTATGTGTATATGTATGTTTCACCGATTTTGCTCCTGTAGACAACCCAGACTAAGACATTGTGAGCATCCTTTAAGAAACTCTTTTTCATTTTGTTGTAGTACTAAATAATAGTGACATTTATATGAAAATAAACCTCCCTTTCCAATTTTGTACAGTTAGATTTTCTTCATATACTTCAGCCAAAAGAGTATATTAAAATAGATCGATTTCAGAAGCAGATATGTGAATCCTGCCATCTTTTATTAAGCTAGAGGTTTGTAATCATGTAAATAATGCATACTTCTATTTTTTAATTTTGGAAAATACAGCTGTTCTTCTAAAAATGGTTGTAAACATCATTCTTATTGTATCATTGTTAAATAGTTATTTTTTAGTTAATATTTACTATAAATGCCATTATTTTAATTTCTAATACGAGAAATGTTAACATAATCCATATTAAAATCTCTTTGGGTTTTTCAACAATTTTTAAGCACACATAAAAGTTCCTGAAACCAAAAAAATATGACACTTTATTCTTCAGCCCAAATAGATGCTTTCTTATGATGTTGAGAGTTTGAGAACTTGAAGCAAAATAGGGTTAAGAAAAAGCAAAAAACAAACTCACTGCTGTCAAGTGCATTTGACTCATAGCGACTCTTGGATTTCTGAGGCATTATCTCTACAGAAGTAGATTGCCCAATCGTCCTTCCAAGGAGTAGCTGATGGGTTTGAACCACCAGCCTTCTGGTTGGTAGTCAAATGCCTTAGGCATTGCACCACCAGAACTCCCAAAGCAAGAAAGTAGGAATCATAAATATTTCAGGCTTTTAGGATGCATTATGTGGAATACAGAAGCAAGTGCCTTTACCCAAGAATGGTTTAGCTTTTAGCATTATTTCTAATAACCATGTATGTCCTACTTTGAATGGTTTAAAGTTAATAGTAAGGGTGGAACAGAATGTAATAGAACTTCACCTATTAATGTTCACATTCTCTACCGTTTAATGGCTATTTTTAATATTTGTTCAGAATTCAGTTTACAAAATACATTCACGCTCATTTAATGTTCATTAATAAACTTTTATTACTTTTATGGTTATCTTCATTTTACAAATGAGATGAAAATAAATGTAATTTCTTGAAAATTGTTGTTGTTGTTGTTATATGCCGTCGAGTCGGCCCCGACTCATAGCAACCCCTCCTTGGGTTTCCGAGGCAGTATCACTACGGAAGTAGGATTGCCCAACCTTCCTTCCAAGGAGTGGCTGGCGGGTTTGAACCACCAGCCTTCTGGTTAGCAGTCAAGTGCCTTAGGCACTATGCTACCAGAGATTACATAACCAGAAATTGGGTAAGAACTTAATTTGAATCCACCTCCACTAATTGTTAGCTATATATTTGTACATCAATCACATTTAACTAAGTTGTTCAATTTCTCCTCCTGTGAAATGGGTAAATCAATACCTACTTTACCAAAGAGTTAGAATTAAGCTAGATAATACATGTAAAGTACCTGGCACATAGAAGATTTTCAGTAAATTGTAGCTAACATTATTTTTTATTGACTCATATTTAAATTCTATTGGAAATTGATTTTTTCCTAGGACTATTTTTTGAGTTCTGAAAAGGCTCATTGCCTTCATTCTCCTGATAACTGGATTCTCACCCTTGCTAAATATCAGAAATATGTGAGTAGGAGTCATTCTCTTTGTCCTTAAAGTCAATAATCAAGCTGGTGTGTCAATGTTGTTGTTAAGTGCCAGTGAGTCATCTCCAACTCATAGTGACCCTATGCACAGCAGAACAAAACACAACCCAGTCCTGAGCCAGCTCCACAATTCTTGCTACACTTGAGCCCATCACTGCTACCACCATGTCAATCCACCTCATTGAGGGCCTTCCCCTCTTTTGTCGACCCTCCACCTTACCAAGCATGAAATCCTTCTCCAGGGAATGGTCCCTTATGACAACATGACCAAAGTATGTGAGACGAAGTCTGGCCATTCTTGCCTCCCAGGAGCATCCTGGCTGCACTTCCTCCAGGACAGACCTGTTAGTTCTTTTAGCAGTGCATGGTACTTTCAGCATTCTCCGCCAACACCACAGCTCAAAAGCATCAATTCTTCTTCAGTGTTCCTTATTCATTATGAATAAACCTTAGGAATAGCAGCGAAATACTGTTTGATACATTACTGGTATGGCAATAGATGAACTTATTTTGTGAAAGCTTTTTGTAGGGCAATTCATAAGGAGACTGGAAGAAAAGGAAGGTCAGTTCTGATAAACCTGCTTTCTAGGGAAAATAGCCATTTCGCTTCGCAGATTGAAGATCTAGGATGGTAACTGGAAGAGGAGACCAAAATAATAATTCTATTAGAAAATAATTTAATGATCCTTTTAAATTTAATTCCATTTCTTGGCAAGCAATTCAGAATCAAAGATTCACAAAGAGCTTTCATGACCAAAAGGTGGAATGAAATTAAAAAATTGAATGAAATAAATGAGGTTGGGTTACTTCAATATTACTTTTAGTTGTCATTATATTATAGAAATTTCTTCCTGTGAAAAAATTTAATGTTGCTGGTAGGTGACCCCAATGGAAGTAGTTCTTCAAAGGTGAAAGCATAGTACTAACCTGAGAGATGAATTATGTAGGTCCCAGTATTTAATGCTAATTATCTGTTTTTATCCAAACCATCTTGTTACTTATACCCCAAAGTACTTCACTTGTACATGATCTCACTTCAAAAGCAAATACTCTGAAGGTGGAGGTCATTGAGTCTTCAGAACTTGTTTTTAATAGTCTATAATTTATTCCTATAGTTGCCCCTCCTTCCTATAGCAGATAAAAAAATGTTTAAAATATTGCCACTTCTTGTATGTTGAGCATTGTAGTAGCTATTTTGCTTAGTTTTCTCAATCTTCACAGCCATATGAAGCAGCAAGAATTGACATATCAACATACATGAAGGAATCAAGGCTCTGAAAAGACAAGTACCTGTCCAAGAAGATACAGCTCATAGTAGACAGTGAAGCAATTTAAGGAGGTAGACTTGATTTATATTTTTAGAAGATCTCTATGGCTGCCTCTCTAGTGGTTTCCAATTGGCCTGCAAAGCCCCTGTTTATCTTGCTCCAGCCTCTTTCTGAGACCTCATCTCATACATCTGCTTTCATCCATTTATTTTCCTCCAGCCATATCCTTTAAGCAAAGCACCATCATTCCTGTCTTAGGAATGGTATAGCTGCTGTTCTAATGCCTGACACCTATTCCATATCATGCCAATCTATCATTTTCTTACTTCTATCAGACAGCATTTTTTTTTTAATTAAAGTTGCTATTATTTATTTATTTATATGTGTTAGAGATTGAATTCTTTCTTCCAAAAATTCATGTTGAATCCTAATCCCTATACCTATAGATGTGATTCTGTTTAAAAACAGAGTTTTCCTTGTTATGTTAGTTAGGTCATATGTAAGTAAGGTGGGTCTTAAACCTAATCACTTCTGAGTTATCAAAAGAACCAAACAGAGACACACAGAGAGGGGAAGAGGAAGATGGTAGTAGATGTATCTATTACTCAGGAATGCCAAGGATTGCTGGCAGCTTCCAGAAGCTGAAATAGATAACGAAGGACTTTACCCTAAATTCACACCTTGAATTCAGTCTTCTAGCCTCTTTAACTGTGGGAAAAAAAGAAAAGTCTGTTCTTTAATGCCTCCCACTTGTGGTATTTCAGCTATGGCAGCACTTGGATCCTAAGACAACATTATGTATCCCCTCACTAATCTTTTGGCTCCTTGAGGCTAGGAATATTATCTTCATCTCATTCTCTTCTGTAGCACTACTGCCTAGAACAAGTGCTTAATAAATATATATTAAATAAAAAGAAAGTGTCATGATGTGAACCCAAGTTTATCCGATTCCAAAGTCTATATCCTTCTCAGGTCACTATGTATTGCTGCTTCTTACTCACTGCACAAAGGTGCCTGGCTGAGGTAACCAAGTCTCATGCCCTCAGAGATGCACCTGTGTGGAGAAGGTACTTTTTATTAATTTGCATAAAGGACACATGAGACTCAGTGAAACAAACCAAATTCACTGCCATTGAGTCGGTTCTGACTCATAGTGACCCACATTGGGTTTCGGAGGTGGTAAATCTTTATGGAAATAGATTGACCCATCTTCCTTTCTTGCCCTATCTTCTGGTTACCACTCAAATGACTTAGGCACTATGCCACCAGAGCTCCTTTGAGGCCCAGTAGAGGCCTTGATTTTTCAGGTTTCTCCTAGGAACTTTGGTGCTAGATTAGCAAGACCACCATTGTATTGGTTTTTTAGTGTTACTATAACAGAAATACCACAAAAGGATGGCTTTAATAATCAGGAATTTATTCTTACAGTTTAGAAAACTAAAAGTCCAAATTCAGAGTGCCAGGTTGTTTTGGTTCTCTTGGTTGTTTTGTTCTGCCAGAATAGAAATACGACAGTGGATGGCTTTAACAAACAGGGATTTATTCTAGAAGTCTGAGTTCAAAGCATCAGGTCTAGGGGCTGGATGAATCTCCCTCGACCTTGGGCTTCAGCTTTGCCTCTTGCTCCTGGCCCACTGGAGCTGGAGCCATCTCTTAACTCAAGCAGCTGCTGGCTGGTGAAGCTGACAAACCCAAGGCCAACAAGTAAAATAGCACAGTCCCAAGATTATTAAGGAACATGGCAGGCTACTAGTTCAAGTACAGAAACAGTTCCAAGATTGGCAGGCAACATGGCAGGCTGCTGAATGAAGACTCGGCTACATGGAGAGTCCAAGTGTGCCAAAAAAGCTCGGAGACTTTTCTCCAAGCTTCCCCTTATATACTAAGTCAACAACTTAGCTGACCACATCCCTAAGGCAGCTACTCAGCTGCTCACAACAGATTCTACCATGAACTTGATTGCCTGTCTCATCATGAGGATTAACTAACTCTAGCTGTCTAGCTCTGGTAGCGTAGTGCCTAAGGCACTTGACTGCTAACCAGAAGGCTGATGGTTCAAACCCACCAGCCACTCCTCAGAAGGAAGATGGGGCAATCTACTTCCATAGTGATACTGCCTTGCCAACCCAAGAAGGTGTTGCTATGAGCCAGGTCCAACTCGACGGCACATAACAACAACAACAACAACAGCTGCCCAGCCAAGTTGACACATAACCTTAACTACTACACAGCTCTAGGGGCTGGGTGAATGCCCCTCAACCTCGGGCATCAGCTCTGCCTTCTTATTCCAGCCCGCTGGAATTGGAGGCTTCTCATAACTTGGGCAGCTGCTGGCTGCTGAGACTGATGAACCCAAGATCAGCAAGTAGAATGGTACAATCCCAAGATCAACAGACACACGGCAGACCACTGGTTCAAATCCAGGAACAATCCTACGATCAGCAGGCAACACAGCAGGCCACTGAGATGAAGATTCAGCCAAATGTAGGATCCAGATGTGCCAAAAAACTAGAGAATTTTCTTAATATTTTCCTTATATAGTGGAAGCAGGCCATACCCTGAAGTCAACAACTTAGCTGACCACAGAAAATTCCACCATGGAGGTGATTAGAATCTCATCATGGGGAAGAACTACATCCAGCTGCCCAACCACTCAAAACCATGGCCCAGTCAAGTTGACATACAATGTTAACTACCACAATTTAAGTGATAGAAAATATCCATTAAACTCAACTTTGATGTCAGTAAATGCAGTAGTCCCCAGCAATATGTGGCAATCTAAATTTAATTAAAATTAAATACAATTAAACATTTAATTTTGACCACACATCACCCTGCTCATATTTCAGGAGTTTAAATTTGCTTATGGCTAGTGACTGACATATTGCACAGCCTATTATAGAACATTTTCGTCATCATAGAAAGTTGTATTGGACAGTGTTCTTTTAAAGTGATAAGAGCTGTGGGTTTCAGAGATTTGCATATGAAATAAAAGATTTTATTTTCTGCATCAATGGAATGAAACATTAGATTAAATCTCAGTGGTCCTTTCCAGTGCAAACAAGATCTGAATCTTATATATTACTAAATATAAATTTTATTTTCTAAATGATAGTGAAAGTTCTCTTTGTTGCCTTTGCATTCTCTATTCTTTCTACAACTCCAAGTCTGTCTATTGTTGATGCCCACATCATCAGTCTGGCATTTCTCTAAATAGAACTCTCTTCCCTCTTTTAACATCAGCAATTAGATACTCTCTATTCTTTCTCTTCTTGTCCCATATTCTCTCCCTGGTATTATCTTAGGAGGCTCAGGTTCAGTTTGTGGCAGGTTGTTATTAATTTAGGTGAAAAAAGTCCTGCCACCTTGAAGCCTTTCATTGTTAATGGAGGTGGTACCTTTTTCATGTGTCCCCTAAATTCACAGGGTGCCCTGGCCCATGTCCTGCAGTCAGCCAGGCATGACTGTGACCTGTTGCAAGAGCAGTACAAGGAAGAACAGAAGTCCAAGGCTGAGCTGCAGTGCTCTATTCACAGGCAATGCTGAAACGGTGCAATGGAGGAGTATGAAAACTATCGTCCAGAGAACTGAAGACTAGAGGGTGACAAATGAGTAGGGCAAGGTTGTCTTTAATCTAGAATTAGTTATATCAAGGAGTATGGGAGTAGGGGTTCTGCCTCCAAAACCTTGTGGTATGCACTTAAAAAATCTTTGCTTAGTGCTTGGAAAACCTCAAGCCCAAGGCTGAAACAGTCATTGTTGGCAAGAAGCATACATTCTAGAGGAGCTAAAAAAAGAAAAATTACAGTTCAAAGTGATAGGTTCTATAAAGGAGTCCTGAGGAGATAAAGGAGGCTTTTCTTAGGGGTCCAAGAGAAGGTTTCACAGATGTGATTTTGAGCTATTGCTTGAAAATGGGCTATCACTTAAAAGCCTATGTTGCATTTGGAACATTGAAATAACTGGGTCTATGTACATACTTGTCTCTATACATTAAAGTCATCATCTCTCTGGTCTACAACTTTCAGACTACAAAGTAGTCTGTGAAAGATAGCTGAAAACACGTTAGGATCTATCACCATGGCTTACGGGACAGAGATTTCTTTGAAAAGAAATTATCCTCAGGCTACCCCTAAAGTTAGATGGCCAGTTTCATAGCCACCTCCACATAAAGCCTTTAGAAGTTTTTCTTCAGGAACTAAAGAAATTTGAGCCCAGTTGAATCAAGACTTGATATCAAGGTGTAGTACTAGAACATTTTGTTCAGAGGCTGAGGAATTGTATATCTATCAGAGAAAGTGTCAAACCAACTCCAGTTTATAATTGTTAAAGGTTTACTCAAAAGAATGTGTCCCTAACTTGGTAGCTTGGCAAAAATCCAGGGCAGATCAATGTATTTCTCTTTAGCTTCAACCAAAAATATTGTTTTTCAGTTCTTCACCTAAATCTTTGAGACGCATTGCAATACAGTTGCTAAACAGCCCCTGTATTCTGTCCCAAAAGGGATACCAAGTGATCCATCTCTGTATCCACAGTAACATAAAAAGGGCTTTGGGATGACAGATACTAAAAATACTTACAATAGATGTTTTAAAAACTCTGGGCCACAGAAAAGTGGAGCTTTGAATTGAAATGCCTCCTCATATTCAGATACAATATTTGCTTCTAAAGTTAAAAAAAAATCTTCTAATGATTGCAGAATTTGGTGAAAATGACTACCTGTCATTCTTTTTGATGTTATTTTTGTAGCATAAAAAAGAGAGAAAGAATACATATTGTTTTATGACCACATGGATTTGTTGGAACTAGTTCTATAGTAAATAACAACTAAAGCAAAATATGGGCAAACAGCAATTTCCAAGAACCTTTGTCTTCAAAATTAGCTGAACTGCAAATAAATAAAGCTTTGTTTGTACCGTGCTTTCCTTTTAAATCACCTCAACAAGATAGACAACTACAAAAATAATCTTAGAATCATATTTTTCAACTGAGAAAAGTTAAGGCTCTACTAGCTTTGATTTTCAGGCTTGGCTTTCCCTAATAAGTCAATTTAGCAGAATCAAACTTACTGGAGACTCAATTTACTGCTTCTGAATTCTAAACTCTCCAAAGATAGGGATTTTGTTTCTTAATCTCCCACATCCCCTCACATATTCTAAGCAATTAAGTAGGTTCTTATAGTTTGCAAGTTGAGGAGTGAAATAGTTGTTGGCATTAAATCTAGAACAAAATTATTGGTGAAACAAGGGTGACTAATTTGTTCCAGTTTTCCTGGGTGTTTCACAGTTTTAGCACCAAAAGTTTCACATTATGAAGAAATCTGTCATTGCTAGACAAACTAGCACAATTGGTCACCCAAAGTAAGTATTTCTAAAGTAGTTAACATGCATGTAATTGTTTTATGAGACGGGGTAAAGCATCAGAATCTCCTTCTAAAAGTTAAGGAAAGTGCAGCATGGAGGTAAAATGAACATGGTTGGAAAACCAGTGAGCAAGGAATTGTTGGCAGAGCCCAGACCCTTCTTGGATGCTGAGCACAGATTGAATTTTTCAGGATTCTACCACAAAGGCACTTTATGACCACATTGTTCTGTTGGACCTTTTTCATGTTTAATAAGAGTAGATCAGAAAAACCTTTGGCAGGGACTCAGATACTTGTACACCAATGTTCATTGCAGCACTATTCACAATGGCCAAATGTAGAAACAACTCAAGTGCTCATCAACAGATGAATGTATAAATAAAATGCAGTATATACATTCAATAGAATCAGTGTAGGATTACTCAACAAATAGGGTAAACATTAGCTTACTTGTGCTTACTTACTAATCTGTAGTGAACAACTTAACATTTTTTTCACCACATCAAAGATTCTTCCTCTAGGTATAGCTAGCATCCGTGTCTCTGCCAACCCCACAGCACCTTCCTACAGAATCAAAGCCTCTTCAAATCTATAATCCTTGTCAGGGAGAGAGTACCCAGTCAGCACAAGTAAACCCATGCTTGGCTTTCTTATTGGGGAATCTACCTCTGAATGGAATATTCAAACTCACTGCTGTTGAGTCATTTCCAACTCATATAGACCCCTCCTTGGGTTTCTGAGGTGGTATCTCTACAGAAATAGATTGCCCAATCTTCCTTCTGAGGAGAGACTGGTGGGTTTGAACTGCCAGGCTTCTGGTTAGCAGTCAAATGCCTTTGGCAAAGAAATGAAGTCCTGACTTGCTGCCATATGGATGAGTCTTGAAAGCACTCAAGTGAAATAAATCAGTCATGAAACGACAAATACTGTGTGATCCAACTTATATAAAATATCAAGAATAGGCAAATGCATAGAGACCAAAGCTTATTAATGGTTACCAGTGTGCGTGGGAGAGAAAAATGAGGGTATTTCTTAAGGTGTACTGAGTTTCTGTTAAGGGTGATGGAAAAATTTAGGAATGCATAGTGGTGATGGTTGCACAGCATGGTGAGTGTACTGTCACTGAATTGGACATTGAAAATAGTTAAAATATTTTGTTATACACTTCACAATAAAAAATTTAAAACTTTGATATGTACAGTACCTTTAATCTATGGAGTATAATGAATGTGTAAAATGCAGTTGTCAGTGTCCCTACAGGAAAGGTAAACAAGAGAACATATTTTATACAACAGAATTCCTAAAAGCGCTATATTATATGAGTGGTGTAGTTAACACTCTAATAAAGTGCTCCAACCCAAAGGATGCTGTAGTAATAAATGATGGGGATTAAAGTATCTGCTAAGAGCAGTAAAAATCACAATAAAACTTATTGCCATTGAGTTGATTCCAACTCATGAGAACCCCCTTTGGGTTACCAAGACTGTAAGTTTTTACGGAAGCACGGTGCCTCATCTCTCCTCCACGGAGGGGCTGATGGATGCAAACTACTGACCTTTTGGTTAGCAGCCAAATGACTTAACCACTACACCACCAGAGCTCTTTTGCTAAGAGCAATGAGACCTGTTAATTGACATAATGATGGGATGGATTTGGGCATATCAGTTTGGGAGAAGAGGAGGAGGTGAAAAAAAAAAAAAGAAAGAAAAAGAAGAAAAAGATTGCCAGCATGTTTAGGATCTGCATTAGAGGGAGAATGAATGAGTAGGAGAGCCCAAGAGGGCAGCATAGCCAAAGAGGCTCTTTAGAGACTAGATGTACCTAAGGATGTGCTTATTGTGGGCTGGATAGTAAATCTTTCCCTTTCTTCCTTTCCGCCACCCTCGAAATCATTAACAAAAATCTGCATTGCTTATTAAAAGTTTAGGGTCAGGAAAACAGTAATTCAAAAAGCCTTTGAATTCCAAGTCTAGGTTGCCAAAGGGTGGAGGGAAATACATGTGGACCCAGGAGCCAGAGAATGGTGATCAGCAGATATCTCGGCTTTCTACACACAAGGAGGCCATTTCCAGACATGAGCTGCTTTTGCTTTGCACTATTAAGGTGACATTTGACTGCTAACCAGAAGGCTGACGGTTCTAGCCCACGAGCCACTCCTTGGAAGGAAGGCTGGGCAATCTACTTTTGTAGGGATACTGCCTTGGAAACCCAAGAAAGGGTTGCTATGAGTTGGACCTGACTCCATGGCAGTCAGTTTGGTTTGGTTATTAAGCTGATCTCAGAGCCACTTTATTTTGCACCCATGTACCATCTTTAATCAAGAACAGACTGGATGCACTCTTATAAAGTTGCTGTATGTGCCCTTTGGGTCTCCCTTTCCAAGGAAGAAGTGGGCGATTAGGTTGCAGGAGTCTGCTAAAGCCATAGAGACAGTCAATTCTAGAAACACCTCACGGGAGAGAGCCAGACACTGTCTGCAGCTGGAGCTTGGGGATGCCTAGTCTGTCCTTGGGAAGGCCTACTTCATGACAGCCACCCTGGAATAGGAGCAGCCAGCAGCACTCAGACAAGGCTCTTACTGACTGGAAGCAGAAGCATGAGGAGTCTCAGGTGTTGCTGGACACCACTCAGGAGGCCAAGGCTCTCAACAGTGAACTCCTCAAGCTCAAGCACACCTATGAGGAGAGCACTGTGAGCCAGAAGATGCTTAAGAAATACAAGAACCTCCAAGGTACAGATTTCTCTTGTCGTCCAAAGGTAGAATGTTCCTAAGCCACATTTTGTAAACTAAAACGGTGTAAAGCAAAGAAACAGTTACTAGTAAAGTATATGGGAAAAAATTTTGAACATTCCCAGACTCAAACAATAACCTACCAAATTATACCAAATAATGCATAAAACCTAAAATAATATTAGCACATAGTGCTTACAGACATAGTTGAAAGCTGTGGTGGCTTAATACTGAATGTAATTCTCTAGGAAGGAGCTTGGCAACACCACTCTGGCTGCTTGAGATGCACACTGTCTCTTTAAAAGCTTGTTGTAAAACAAACTCTACATGCTAGGTTTTTTGTTGTATAAGAGCAAAAATCCTCTTTGGATTTCTATCAGTTAGTGAAACAGGTACAAATGCAGGTGTTTTGTAAAAGTGAAGTAAGATAAAATTAATTTCCCAAAAGGGGGGATATCAGTACATAGAGCTGGGGTGTGGGGCCAAAGCAAGAGCAAGGCACTCTGGGAGATTTCTACTACAAGGACACAGCTTTCTTCTCTGGGCAGAGGGCCTCAGAGTGGGAACTTGCAGTTACGCTTTAACTTTTCAATTTTTAATGTTTTTTTTTAAATTATTTTTAATCACAGATGTGAATTTTATTAAATTAACTCTAAAAATTAGATTCTTTTTCTACCTTTAGCTCCAATTTCACTCTCTGTAAGTATACATTATTCTATACTTTTTAGTTTTTCATTTATTAATCTATTTTCTAGCACATTCTACATGCCAGGCACTGTGTTATACACAACTATTCACCGTTTAATTCTTGGAGCTATACTGAATCACATAAAGTTAAGTAATTTGTCCAAATTTGCATTATTAAGTTGCAGACACAGGATTCAAGCCCACCTAACTTGGCTCCAAACACAGCTAACTACTGAACTATCCTACCTTCCTATGTGGTTCTTTGCATGCCTATACATGGAGACCTGCCACATGCTTTTTAATGGCTATATAGCATTTCATAATGAGAATGACTATCGTTTATTTAACTAGACTTTATTAATTTTATATCTTACTTTTCATAATTATAAATAACCCTGTATTATACATCTGTATACATGGGAGTGCTGGTAGTATAGTGCCTAAGGCACTTGACTGCTAACCAGAGGGCTGGTGGTTCAAAACCACCAGCCATTCCTCAGAAGGAAGGTTGGGCATTCTACTTCTGTAGTGATACTGCCTCAGCAACCCAAGGAGAGGTTGCTATGAGTCGGGTCCAACTCAATGGCACATAACAACAATAACAACATACATATATAAGGTGCTCTGGTGACACAATGCCTAAGGCATTTGACTGCTATCCAGAAGGTTGGCAATTCAAACCTATCAGCTGCTCCGCAGAAGGAAGATGAGGCAATCTACTTCTGTAAAGATATACAACCTTGGAAACCCAATGGTGGTCAATAGGAGTCGGAATCAACTCGATGAATGGGTTGGGATTGGTATACATATATACACATACAATGACTTATTCATTGCAAATACCTTTTCTTCAGCAGTATAAATGGTAACTGTACACATGCATCTTGCCAGATGGAATACACAGGAATCAAATCAACTATATTTGTGGATAGAAGTAATGGAGAAATTCAATATCATCTGTCAAAACAGGGCCATGAGCTGACTTTGGAACAGACCATCAGTTGCTCCGATGCAAGTTCAATTTGAAGCTGAAGAAAATTAAAACAAGTCCATGAGAGCCAAAATATAACTTTGATTACATACTACCTGAATTTAGAGACCATCTGAATACATTTGATGTATTGAACACCAATGACTGAAGACTAGACAAGTTGTGGATGACATCAAGAATATTATACGTGAAGAAAGCAAAACATCATTAAAAAGACAGGAAAGGAAACAAAGACCAAAATGGATGTCAGAAGAGACTCTGAAAATTGCTTTTGAACTTAGAGTAGCTAAAACGAATGGAAGAAATGATGAAATAAAAGAGCTAAACAGAAAATTTCAAAAATGTGGCTCAAGAAGACAAAATAAAGTATTATAATGAAATGTGCAAAGACCTGGAATTAGAAAAGCAAAATGGAAGAACACACTCAGCATTTCTCCAGCTGAAAGAACTGAAGAAAAAATTGACACCTCAAATTGCAATATTGAAGGATTCTATGGGCAAATATTTAACTATGCAGGAAACATCAAAAGAAGATAGAAGGAATACACAGAGTCACCGTACCAAAAATAATTGGTCAACATTCAACCATTTAAGGAGGTACAGCATATGATCAAGAAGGAAGAAGTCCGGGCTGCACTGAAGGAATTGGTTAAAAAAAAAAAAAAAAAAAAAAGCCTCCAGGAATTGACAGAATTCCCACTGAGATGTTTCAGCAAACAGGTGCAGCACTGGAGGCACACACTCTTTCATGCCAAGAAATTTGAAAGACAGTTTCTTGGCCAATCGACTGGAAGACATCCATATTTGTGCCTATTCCAAAGAAAGGTGATTGAACAGAAAGTACAAATTATTGAACAATATCATTAATATCACATGTAAGTAAAATTTTGCTGAAGATAAATAAAAAATAGATGCAGCAGTATATTGGCAGGGAACTTCCTGAAAGGCAAGCTGGATTCAGAGGAGGATGTGGAATGAATATATCATTGCTGATGTCAGATGGATTCTGGAAGAAAGCAAACAACATCAGAAAGATATTTACCTGTGTTTTCTTCATTATGCAAAGGCATTTGACTGTGTGGATCATAATAAATTATAGATGACATTGAGAAGAATGGGAACTCCAGAACAATTGATTGTGCTCATGAAGAACCTGTACATAGACCAACAGGCTGTCATTTAAACAGAACAAGGGGACACTGCATGATTTGTTGTCAGGAAGAATGTGTATCAGGGTTGTATCCTTTCCCCATACTTATTCAATCTGTATGCTGAGCAAAAAATTCAAGAAGCTGGACTATATGAAGAAGAATGCAGCATCAAGATGAGAAGAAGAGTCATTAACCCTGCAATAAGCAGGTGATGAAACCTCGCTTACTGAAAGTGATGATGACTTGAAGCACTTTCTGATGAAGATTAAAGACACCAGTCTGCAGTATGGATTACACCTCAACATAAAGAAAATGAAGATTCTCACAATTGGACCAATAAGCAGCATCATGATAAATCGAGAAAAGATTGAAGTTGTCAAAGATTTCATATCACTTGGCTCCACAATCAATACCCATGAAAGCAGCAGTAAGGAGTCAGATGTTGTATTGCATTGGGCAAATCTGCTACAAGGGACCTCTTTAAAGTGTTAAAGAGCAAAGATGTCACTTTGAAGACTGAGGTGTGCCTGACCCAAGCCATGTGTGGTAGTTAAGGGTGTGTGTCAACTTGGCTGGGCCATGGTTTTGAGTGGCTGGGCAGCTGGATGCCGTTATTCACCAGGATGAGATTGGGATCAACTCCATGGTGGGATCTGTTGTGAGCAGCTAAGTAGCTGTCTTTGGGGGTGTGTCCTGCTTCCAATATATAAGAAGCTTTGAGAAAGGTCTCTAGCTTTTTGGTACATTTAGATCCTGTGTTTGGCTGAGTCTTCCTCTCCAGTTCCTGGCCTTGAACCAGTGGTGGCATGTTGTCTGCTGCTCTTGGGATTATTTCTGGACTTGAACCAGTGGCCTGCTGTGTTGCTTGTTGATCTTGGGTCTGAGCCATTTTACGTATTGACCTTCAGTTTGACAGCTTCAGCAGCCAGTAGCCGGGTGAGTCAGAAAGAAGTCTCCAGCTCCAGTGGTTCTGGAATAAGAGGCAGACCTGAAGCCCAAAGTCAAGGTACCTTCACCCAACCCCTAGAGCCAGCAATCTGAATATGGACTTCTAGCCTCCTAAACTGTAAGAGAATAAATTCCTGTTTGTTAAAGACATCCACTTGTGGTATTTCTGTTATAGCAGCACTAGAGAATCAAGACACCATGATATTTCCAATCATGTCATATGGATGTGAAAGGGGGACAATGAACAATGAATACCAAAGAAGAATTCATGCCTTTGAATTGTGGTATTGGCAAAGAATGCTGAAAACATGCACTGACAGAAGAGCAAACAAATCCGTCCTGGAAGAAGTATGACCAGAATGTTCCTTAGAAGCAGGAATGGCTAAACTTCTTTGTCTCATCTACTTTGATCATGTTTTCAGAAAAGACCAATCCCTGGAGAAGGATATCATACTTTGTAAAGCATAGGGTCAACGAAAAAGGGGAAGGCCCTCAATAAGACGGATTGACAAAGAGGCTGCAATGATGGCCTCAAGCAGAGCAATGATTGTGAGGATGACTCAGAACCAGGCAGTGTCTCCTTCTGTTGCACATAGGGTCACTGAGTCAGAGCCAACTTGATGTCACCTTACAACAATGATAATACATTTATTTATGTGCATGTAAAACTATTTCAGTAGGATAAAGCAATAGAAATGAAATTGCTAGGTTAAAACAATAAAATTTTAAATTTTGATATACAAGTATTTCCTGATTTACAGTGGGATTTCATTGTGACTTCTACGTAAGATGGTGCTGATATAAATTAAATCCTTTTTTAATTGTTTGTTTATTTTCATTATTATTGCCTTTATTATCAGTATCTTTATAAGTGTGATCTTTACTTGTCTTTGGGTGGTGGAAACATTATATATAAACTTACAGATATATTTTAACATTGTATATAGTACATATTACTAATGATAGGATAAAAAAAACAGAAACAGATGGTAGTAAGTGCGGATAGTCATAACTTGAATACATCATAAGTCAGGCACTACCTGTCCTGTCAAACAGTCTTTCAAAGAGTTTGCCAACTTGTACCATTACCAGCAGTGATTTACAACAAAATCCTGAAACACTCTGGAAACAAATTCATTGCTATTTGAAGTATCAATGAAACTTGCTCTTCACTTTCATAGTGCATGATCAAATCACTGACTAGACATCTGAGAGGTGCTAAAACAATAATTATAACCAAGGACTTGTTAAAGCAAAGACTGCTGGGCCTCACCCCAGAGTTTCTGTTTCAGTAGTGAATTTACTTGGTTTGGGGTGAGACTTGGACCAAGGTCTTTTACAAAAGCTCTGTTAATATAAAGGAATAAGCCATTGCAATTGAGTCTATTCCAACTCACTGTGACCCTTTAGGACAGAGTAGAACCGCCTCATAGGGTTTTCAAATCTGTACATCTTTACAGAGTTTTTAAAATGATATTTCAAAGTATTTTGTTTGTGAAAGATCATCTTTGTGCAAAATTTTTGACAGAAGCTTTTTTTTCAATATTATAAATTAAAACTGCAGTTAATGTCTTTGGCTTTATCCCTTGATGTACACCAGTGATTGGAAGGACCACTAAGAAAACTTTTTGCCAAGTAGGAATGGGAACTAAAAAGGAAGTTATACTGTCATGCTCATTAAGTGGTTAACAAACCCTGTAAAATATTTCTCACAGCTGAATTTCATATTCTTGTCCTACCCTTGGAACATGCACCTAGTCACATTTAAAAAAATCCCTTTTCTACCAGTAAAGAAAATTAATTTAAAAGGCTTGGGCTTCAATAACAATAAAAATAAGTAAATAAATTAAATTACTTTTAAAAAGTAAAAGGCATGGGAAGTCAATTTTAGGCAGGAACCTTTTCCAAAGCACAATAATTGAAAATAAGATCCAAAGGACTTTTCTCTGCCAAGCACCATTCATCCAATTTACTTCACTACTGCATGTCTGTAGAAAACTTGCTAGGCCAGAGAGGTGTCCATATTACCCTGTCTGTATAGAGAGTTGTGAAGTAGATAGCTCTCGACACAGGTCTTACCATTTAATTCATAAGTGTTTTCTTACCTATTCTATGTAAGGTAGGATGGTGACTCCTAGCAAGGCTGTCCTTGTAAAATTGGTGAACTTCATTTTTGTTTTCTTGTTCTCTTTTCATAAGTCCATTTGATTCTTGAGCCATCTTAGCTAGGGACTTTCTAAAGTCACCACATTAACCCAAAGAGGTAGCTTTTATGAGAGAAATTTCAAGTGCCGTGACAAGCCAGTGAGCAGTGTGATGGGCATGAGACCATTTTAGTCCTGCAAAACACATGTTGCTGTTATGTGCCGTCGAGTCGGCCCCGACTCATAGCGACCCCTCCTTGGGTTTCCGAGGCAGTATCACTACGGAAGTAGGATTGCCCAACCTTCCTTCCGGGGAGTGGCTGGTGGGTTTGAACCGCCAGCCGTCTGGTTAGCAGGCAAGTGTCTTAGCCACTATGCTACCAGAGCAAAACACATAGGGATCACAATATGTTAAATTGACCAACACCCTCATCTAAGCGTGTAAGAATGATATTAAGGCCATAACTCTCATGCTGTTTAGTACCACTAGATGGCATTACATTCTATTCACATATTCTTGAATTCTATCTTCAGTCACATCCATAAATACGTAATCAACTTGGACATGTATTTGTAAAATTGACTTATCTCTTTTCTTGGGTGAATCTTTATGAGAAAACTTATCAGAATTTTTTAAAAAAAAAAAACCACAAAAGTCAAAGTACCTTAAGTCACCTTCTCCAAAGATTTACTTTCTCAGTACATTTTAGTGAGTGAGAGGTGACAGTTTCTCCTGAAGGAACTGCAGAGTTCCCTCTGAGGAAATTGCTATCAATTTCCACTTGTTTTTGGTTTATTGTCTTTTATATTGAAGGTAGTGTTGAGAGAACAGCAAGGCAGACCTTAATGTTAAAATTCCCAACACCTCTCTTATTTTAAATACTGCTATTCAGTCTTACTTTTTACTTCTGGTGGAGTAGACTAAGCTACTCCTACCTTCAGGACTGTCCATCCCAAACCCACTGCTATCAAGTCAATTCCAATGCATAATGACCCTATAGGATAGGGTAGGACTGCACCATAGAGTTTCCAAGGCTATAAATCTTTATGAAAGCAGACTGTTTTGTCTGTCTCCTGCAGAGTGCCTGGTGAGTTCAAACAAATGACCTTGTGATTAGCAGTGAAATACCTTAACCATTGAGCCACCAGAGCTCCTCTGGACTGTTCAAAGAACTGACAAATAGATTGTCATCACTCTTATGGCCTTCACAAACATCTTCATCTGTATGCTCCAAGTGTTTTATTTTTGTCTGTTTGTTTGTTCTTTTATATACATTTTATCTTTGGAATAGGCTTTCAAGATTTAGACAAACCTACACTTTTAAATTGAATCACCTTTATAAAATCCTGGGTAATAATGGTCTTGTCTATATTTAAATAGAGGGGCAGAGGATCTCCCTACTTATCAAAGCAGTCCATTTGTTTGTAGTAGTGGTACTAATAAAAATGGCAATAATTGTTCACTGTGAGTAGTATATGTCAAGGACACTCTAAATTCCCTTATTTCTTCATATGACAATATTTCAGCACCATTGCTGATCACAAGCACTGTTGATTGTTCTGGGAATTCATACAACTTTTCCTTCTATTCCTCTAATAAAGTGACGCTCACAATTAAATACCACTTACCTTGTTCTAACTTTGATACTTTTATTGATTCATTGTCAAGCTTGAACACATTAGAAAAAGTCAAAAGTAATCAGTGAAAAGTTTAAGCAATAGTCACAGATGGGACTGCAATTTCCTAAGTTAAAAAGTGCTTTAGAATTCTAGTTCTTAAACTACAACTGAAATCCTTAAGAATGTCAAAGCTAGAGGAGAAATGACAAACTAAAGTCATAGCTTGTCTCTCTCTCATTTTGTTTCAATCTTTAGCAACCTGACTTTGAACCAAAGACCTCTCCCAGAAACTCTAAAGAGAGCTATATCAGTAATGTACATTTGGAAGGGAAAAAAAAAAAAAAGCATACTTTTTTTTTTTCCAAAAGTGAACTTAAGTTAGTGTTTTCATTTATATATTTCAGGGAGCTCTAGAAGGTAATGAAAGCAAGATTCTTTGTTTCCATCTTGAACTCTTGAAAGCTAAACCAGAACTTGAAAGAAAGTCTTCTAAGAACGATAAAGAAATAGAAAAATTTAGGTATTTAAAATTATGTTGATAAGCAACAGTTGCATATTTCAGAATCCTTGATTGAACAAAGTTCATTGTGTTTGGATGATGTTATGACCCATTTGAACATTACCAAAAAAAAAAAAAAATGTAACCAGTCTAATGATGCACTGGAGTCTTCCCAGTAAACCCACAACGATTAACATAAAGGAGTAACCCATTGCCATTAAGTTGATTGTGACTCATAGCAACCCTATAGGACAGAGTACAACTGTCCCATAGAATTTCCAAAGCTGTAAATCATTATGGAAGTAGACTGTCATATCTCTCTCCCACAGAGTGGCTGGTGGGTTCAAACTGCTGGCCTCTAAGCACTCTTACCACTGCACCACCAGTGTTCTTTAATATAAAGGAATACCTCTATACAGTTACTGCCAGATTTTATGATTCTCTTATATATTCAAGCAGGTTCTACTCTCATATAAGACTCAAGATAATAAACCAGAAAGGCATAACTATTCATACTGCATTTATTGTCTGGGTATGCCTATAACAAGTCTGTCTCTTGGACATTCAAGAAACTGACTGATGATGCTGAACCCTGGGGAGGAAAAGAACTCAAAAACTTGATGTTGTACATTAAAATTAATGTCAGATCAGAGTGAAGTTTCCACATACCTCCTACCTGGATCTGTGGCCATTTGTTTGGAGAGGGCAGAAGCCAAGAACTAAGCTGCGTATTGAATCTCTGTTGAAGCAGCTCAGTTCTAACAGTCAGGAAACAGAATTAGATAGGACTCACGGGCAGCAGGATCTATTCTTGGCTTCATCATAACAAGCTGATGACTTTAGACATTCTGCTTCTTAGCTCCTCAGTGAACTGAGGGGATGAAAGCAGCTCCCTGCATGTCACAGAAGGTGGTGAGGAAGATCAGTCCGCTAATGTCAGCAAAGCACTTCGCACTCTATAGATCAAAGGCACAATTATAAACATGTGGAATTAGCAATGATTATATTATCTATCTCGTCTGTTCCCTTAAGTCAATGCCATATGCCAGCAAGGAAACTCATTTTGAGCCTGTGGTTCAACTGGTAACCTGCTTTCAACATGTTTGATAAACAATTTTTAAAATATCTGTTAGCATGTCCAATTTAATGATCTCTTTCCTTTAGCCCATTTTCTAACAAAACTCCCATGGGGGTCAATTTTTTAATGAGGATGTCAAACCAAATAGGCCCTCTGTGTGCTTTGAGTTCTCTTTGCTCTCATTCACCAGCACTTCCCCCAAAAGGGACTGACTGTGGTGAGGAATTCAGGTCTACTTAAGGCTCAGAGTCAGTGTCTAAACGAATTTTTTTGATGAAGGGCAAAAACGTTTCGGCCTTGATATTTGCCCTACTTCCTTCCACGAGGAACAAAAATGAACATCTCCTTGTGGAGTTAAAAAAAAAAAAAAAAAATCAAGTAACGTCAAACCTGTGCCTATAAATAAACTCAGCTGAGGAAAGATGAATCCTCAGAGAGTGTGTGTCTCGTCAGGTACATCTGAATGTCGGAGAGCAGTTCGCCAATTATAATAATCTTACTGCAAAGGAAGCCAGAGATCCAAACAGCTAGGGTTGGGAGAAGAAAGAACTGAAGATTAGGCAGAAACTGTGAAGAGGCTGAAAAAAGAAGGGGCGGGCTGGAGGTAGGGGGCGAATTATTCATGAGTTTTAGTTAATGACTCACAGTAACTATGATAGGTACATCTGGAAAGGGAAAATGAGCATAACGTACAAAATATCACAGATACCATCCCCAACCCTTTGTGCTCTGTGTGAGTACAGATCGTGTCACACTGCCTTGGTTTACTCTGAAGCAGCATCATTTGACATCAGGGCTCGTGGTAGAGGGGATCTCAAGGAAACTGAATAGAAATCCAGGAAAGAAAATATATGAGCAAAGGATTAGGCTTCAAGGAATCAAGGATTAGTAGACAGGTATATTATATAACTGATTGAAAATATTGCCTGAGGACAAGATGAGGCTTGAGGTCCTACCTCTACATAAACCATCCACACTCTTCAGAAACTAAAGGAGCCCGGCCACACAGGGAATCAAGAAAGTACAAGGTGAGAGACCTGGAGGCAAATGCAAGGTAAAAACTTGATAGAACAGCAAATTGGGCAACTCATTCTCTGATGTCAAGATATCCCATCTATTCTGGTGAGGACTAATACTGAGTAAGCATGGCTTAGGGACCTATTGGTTGTGAAAGTATGAGCAGCTGGTATGTGTGTGATAGACTTCATTTGCTCAACAACTATTTGAGCATCCAGTGTTTTGCCAGACACTGTGCCTAATAGTTTAGTTAGGGCTTTACAAACTTTTATGGATGATAGAGCTTTTTCTTTTTTTTCTCTCTTTTTCCCCACAATAGTTATAATGACCATAACTAAAGGTAAGAAAGTGACTGTGCAATCACTGATGGTAGGAGAGGAGAAATGTTGATGGGTGGCGATCATCCTCTCCATCCTAGACACAGGAAAGAGGGAAGGACATCATCAACAAGCTTGAAGGCCAACTGATGGCTATATTGCCCTATTTCACGACCCAGGACTGGGCTAAATATAGGCAGTCAGGTACATCCTGAACTTTCAGGGACCACCAACTATATCCCTCTCCCCAGCTCAGGGCATTTAAGAAAATGCTGAAATATGTGAGGATCATCAGATTGGCCCAGAGCCATGGTACACCTGGCCTGTATCTGCTTTTCCCAAACATAACCAGAGAGGCACTGAAATTACTTAACTCTGTCATAGTGTGTTTGTTTGGATTTGATAGTTGTAGGAAACTTAGGGAAATTTTTTTGAAAGGCAAGATAAGTAAATATTTCAAATTTGTGGGCTATGTGGTCTTGTCATAGCTACTCAACTCTGTAATTATAGCTGGAAAACACACATAGGTATACTAATGAGTGTGGTCAGATGTGGCTCACAGATAATGGTTTGCGCAATCTAGCCTATAGCCTCAGGTATCTACTAATCACTCTTTCATCTTTCCTTCAATATAGTCTACTCCTCTGAACACAATAATGTCAAATTTTGTCACCTGGTTATAATTTATATGCATCATTTGAATTATTTTCCCTTATTGTCTGAGTCTCTATCAGAACAATGTTTCAATCTTTCCCCATTTCTAAGTAAAATATTTTAGTATGCCTTTGAAAAGTAAGATCTCAAATTCAGACATGGTATTTAGTTTGCAAAGTATCTTGTTAATCATTTTTAAGCTGAGTCAAATATATTAGAATTAAGACAAATCTCACATTTCTCTGGTAGTGATGAACAATGTTTCAAGAGAAAAATTATCTATTGAACTGACTGTTAATCTAAAATCATTAGCTTTTCAATGTTATAAGTTTTTATTCTGATTTTTCTCTCCCAGGCTGGTTTCTTTTCTCAAATTCTGTTTCCTATTTCAGAAAAAAGAAATTTCTTCCTATATTGTCCTTGACCCTGAATGCTTCATTTTTCTTAAAAAATGTACTCAAGGGAGGTTTCATTTTAAAGATTTTTTGACTCTGCATGAAATGTGTTGATTGCTCAGCAGCCACTCTCCAGGCCTGTATTATATCCATGTCTCTTAAACCACAGCAGTTTTTACTTATCTGGAGGCACTCATGAAGTTTCATAAACAACTGTGCAAAAGTACAGTTTGAAACATTCACTTTGACTGCTTAAGTAGAATATATTTCTGTACAGAGGATTTTGACATCAGGCTAGGGATGCTTTAGTGTTCTTGTGTAGGGAGAATCAGTTGTGGAAAATGAGAATTTCCTTAGTGTTAGAAAGAGGAATGTCACAAAGCTTTTAGTGATGTTGAATGAGAGCATGTCCGTTAACTTTACATAGCTGTGTTTCTACAGAGTTCTGACCTGGAAGCCACACAGAAGCCCAGGTCCTAAGATAGGCATGAGAGGCCTTCCTCAGGCAGATGGGATTGGCAGAGGAGAAGTGCTAATCCTGGAAAGATGTATTACCCACACATTTCCATACCTAATTCTGGGACCTCCAGTGAGGAGAAGGGTGGTCATGAAAAGTGGCACCTCTCCCTGTCCACTTCTTCCAAACTCTGACCACTACTCACCTGCAAGCTCTCAGTCTTCCTGGTTGGCCTCAGAGCTTGTGACACAGTCTCAACGCCATTTCAATATGTAATCTAGTTCTGACCCAATGACTACATTTTTGCTATTTATGCTAATGGAGTCTATGAGGGAAAAGGATGGAAAAGTTCTTCCTTCTTCTGTCTTATCTGTCCAGCACCAGGCCCTCTTTCATAGGGTGAGCTTAACAGTTCCTGTATTAGTTACAGCAGTTAAACTGTCCTGACTCCAAGACCAAAATCCAAAACCACTGCTGTTGAATAAGAGGCTTAGAACAATAAATGCTTATTTTTGGCTCATGTCTGATCCAACCAGGATGGAGGATGGGCTCTTTTCTTCAGAGTCATTACAAAACCCAAATTCCTTCTATCTTGTGATACTGCTACCTTCTAATATGGCCACCAAGTTTGTCACAGATGCCAAAAATGGATGTAGGACCATACAAGAAAAAATTTTATGGAATACATGGCCCCTTGGCCAGAATTCAGTCACATGGTCCCAAGCTAACTCACTGGAAGCAAGTTTGGACAGGAAGACTGCTGTGGGTTCCCTCAGTTTTTTCATAGCCTTCCTGAACACACAGCTATCGCTTCAGGTTCTTCATTTTGCAAATGCAATTTCAGCACAGGAATTTTGTTGTTACAGAGGAATAGTGAGGTAATTCAATGTCACTTAGCAACTGAGTTTCTCAGCCAATCGTTGGTTGGACCCTCAATCTTCTGAAGAAAGGACGGTATGTTATTCTAGGAGAGTTTAGTGTCTATACTAAACATTAGAAAAGTATTGCTAGATTTCAGAACTTGTCCTAAACTGCATAGCTTTTTCTTACCTTGTTTAGATATTTATCATCATTTGAATAATTTTAAATATTATGACTGTCTAAAAGGGTGTCTTTTCTTTGTTCTTTGCCACTCTAAGGATCCAGGTGCTTGCCCTACACATTTCTTTAGGAGGTCCAGATAAGGCTAAGGCTGCCCCATAACAAAACCAGTTGCTGTTGAATCGATTCTGATTTATGGCAACTCCATGGGTATCCTCACAACTGGACCAATGAGCAGCATCACAATCAATGGAGAGAAGATTGAGGTTGTCAAAGAATTCACGTTGCTTGGTTCTACAATCGATGCCAACAGAAGCAGCAGTCAGGACATTAGACGACGTGTAGCATTGGGAAAGTCAACTGCGAAGGAACTGTTTCAAGTGCTGAGGAGCAAGGATATCTCCTTGAGGACTAAGGTGCACCTGACACAAGCCATGATATTTGCAATCACCTCGTATGCATGTGAGAGCTGGACAATGAATAAGGAAGACCGAAGAAGAGTTGATGCTTTTGAATTGTGGTGCTGGCGAAGAATGCTGAAAGTACCATGGACTGCTAAAAGAACTAACAGATCTGTCCTGGAGGAAGTGCAGCCAGAATGCTCCTTGGAAGCAAGAATGGCCAGACTTTGTCTCACCTATTTTGGTCATGTTGTAAGAAGGGACCATTCCCTGGAGAAGGATGTCTGTCATGCTTGGTAGGGTGGAGGGTCGACGAAAGAGGGGGAGGCCTTCAACAAGATGGATTGACATGGTGGCTGCGATGATGGGCTCAAGTATAGCAGGGATTGTGGGGCTGGAGCGGGATCGGGCAGTGTTTCATTCTGCTGTGCATGGGGTCGCTATGAGTCGGAAACAACTTGATGGCACTTAACAACAACAACAACCATGGGTATCAGAGTAAAATTGTGCTCTGTAGGGTTTTCAGAAACAGGTCATTAGGTCTTTCTTCTGAGGTGTTTTTCAGTGGATTGGAACTTGAACCTTTTGGTTAGTAGCTGAGTGTGTTATGTGCCCCATTCCACTACCATCCTGTCAATTCTGACTCATAGAGATCCTATAGGACAGAGTAGAACTTCCCTATAGGGTTTCCAAGCTGTAAATGTTTATGGAAGAAGACTGCCTAATCATTCTTCCACAGAGTGGCTGGTGAGTTTGAACCACCGACGTTTTGGTCAGTACCTGAATGCCTTAACCACTGCCCCACCAGAGCTTCTTAAGTGGCCCCTAGGAACCCCAAAAGATTCTAAAATTTTCTTTTATTCTTCCTAGAAGTTGATGTGAGGAGTCTTACTTCATCTTTTATGCTGAACATGTACTTGCCAGCTTAATGCCTTGATCTCTATATTTTTACCATAAAATCTCTCCGGGCCCATTTTGTTAATAACTCAGAATTTTTCTTGAATTTTCATTTTTTCTGTTTCCTTAACTGTTGTGAACACAGCAGGTAACCTTTCTTAATTTGGGTGCATGATTTTTTCCTCCTGAACATTATTCTAAAATTAGGAAGAACCAGCAGTGTGCTATTGACTCCCCGCCGTTTTGTCTGGATTCTGAAACTAAGAGCAGAATTAATATTATACGACTGAAGAAGATAGAAGGCCCCTCAACAAGGTAGAACTCCAGCTTAGCTGAGCTCACTGGCAGATATCAGAGGCAACCAGTGCCCTGGCACGGGTTTGGATTCAAATCAAGGTATATTCAAATTATAATATGGAGAAAAACCTCTCTGCATATAGAAGTAAACTAATTAACAGATTGTGTTGAGTAATAAAGATAAGGACAGCAAACTTAATCCTTTAAGAGATGGGTAACATGCTTAAATCCTTAGTGGGTGGAGTTTTGCTCAGCTCATTCATGCATAGGTGCATCTTATACATTAAACTCAGGAATTTATTCCCCATGCTCACATTTTGTTTTACAGAACCTTCAAGCACAGTTAGGTGACCACCCACACCTAACCAATGATCTGAAGGAGCAGGTGGCTGTAGCTGAGTGGTGCAACTCTCTTCTCTACTTTGAACTAGAGGAACCAAGGGTCTTGCAAGAGCAGACTGAACATGGATGCAGGCTGGTTGAAGAAGAGCTCCTGAAAGCCATGGAAAGAATTGATCATTTTCAGTACCGTGGTGTGATGGGGAAGGCACTAATTCTCTCCATTAGCCAGATCAGCTGGTTGAAGACTGCTGATTCCACCCTTAGCCAACCTTAGACTTTGTAAGGTTGCCATGTCTGGTCTTGGCCGTGATATGCAAAGCATAGGGAGACTCTTTGATGGTAGAGCAGTGGTCACATTCTTCATTTATTCTCAAGTGTTCTGCCAGAAAATGGATGGTCAAGACATCCACACCCAGGATGCTGGGAAGAAAAGCATAAACATTCCCTAGCCCCAGAACCTCTGGTAGCTTAGTGTCTAAGGCACTTGACTGCTAACCAGAAGGCTGGTGGTTCAAACCCACCAGCCACTCCTCAGAAGGAAGATGGGGCAATCTACTTCTGTAGTGATACTGCCTCAGCAACCCAAGGAGGGGTTGCTATGAGTCGGGTCCAACTCGATGGCACATAACAACAACAACAATAGCAGTTCCAGAACCACTTGCTTGGCTCTCTTGCTCCCTCTAAGCCACATGCTCTGTTTCCCCAGCATCACAGAATAATAACAATTAAAAGATGTCCCCACCTCAGAGGCAAGAGTTCTCTAATAATTCTCAGTGACTGCTGATAGATATGATGAGCTGTCACAAATCTGGCTTCTCATGGAAGGTCATGTAAGTGACATGAAGCAAAAATCTTTAAATATTTCTCTCATTCTCTGAGAATTAGGAGTGGGAAGAAGTCTCATGAAGCCATTGTGGCTAGGACAAAAGCACCTAGTAAATGAATCATTCAATAAATACTCACCACAAGCTGGACAGGTATATGTGGTATAGATACAAAATGTCTCCATTGTCCTGAAAAAGTGAAGTCCTTAGTAAACAGCTGTGGTACACTGTTATGAGTCTAATGATAGAGCAAGCACACCTCTTCCAGAAGGTCTTCCCCAACAACCTGAACTGAGGTAGATGCACCATGTGCTTAATCTGAGTCAAGAAGAACATGTAAGAAGTCAATCAGACAGAGAGAAGAGCCAAGAGAAGAAGCATGAGGAGAGGAAGTTTGGGACATTAAAAAAAATTTCACATTCACTATGACAATATGCCTTTCTATGCATAAGAAACGTTAAAGAAACACTTCCAAATGCACCAAAACTTCTTTAACATAATAATATACTAATAATGATGATGATCTTTTGATGCACATTGCGTAGTAGGGCTCTTTTGTTCTTACTCACCAGAGCAAGAATGAGTAGGAGAGAGTAGCAGAAATGATCGTCAGAGGTAGGTTGAGCCAGGTCACCAGGATCCTTGAAGTTTGATACTGATGGAGTTTCAATGTTATCTTTCAGATAATGGGGTCCACTGAAGAATTTTGAGTAGCTGAGAGTGAAGTTATCAGATTTGCATTTTAGGGTTTTGGTGATTGTTATGGAGGCTGGAGTAAGGCAACTAGAGGCAGAGCTGCCACACTATGGGTATTTGGAAATGTCTAGGGAGTTTGTTTAAATTGCTCCAGTGCCTGGAAACACCACTAATATTTATTTAATGATCAGGGGTATTAAAACTCTTGGGAGGTGTAAAATAATCCCATATCACAAAGAACTGGCCCTCCCACAATGCCAGTTGTGCCTCATTGAGAAATACTGGAGTAAAGAAAATATAAACCAGAGGTGCGCTACTTGAAAGGCATTGCAATTAGTTTGTGCCTACAGTTTGACTTTCGTTCCATGTGCATGACAAATCTCATTTGGGTACCTTGTGGGCATCTTTTGGTATAGGAACAAAATAGGCTCTAGGTTATGCGTAAGTCCCATCAGGGTAACTTTTCAAGATTTTTTTCTCTCCCTCAAGAAAGCTTATCTAAATATAATAAACTGGATTCTTAAAATAGAATGTGGGATTTTTTTTAAAAAAGTAGATTATCCACTATCTACAGTACTTAATAGCTATTTGGTAACAAATCATTTACCACACAAATTATAACTGATAATACACCAGTGGGTCCTGGTGTGACTGCAAACCACTAGCAGAAAGAAAGAGATGAAGACATCAACCAGAGCAAAACTAGAAAGCATGTAGAGGAGAAGATAGATTAACATATATGCAGTCCCTGGATTACAAATGGGTTCCATTCCTAAATCTGTCTTTAAATTGAATTTGTACATAAGTCAGAACACTTAGGTATGGTTTGTATCTAATGTCAGTTAGTCAAATTTTGGTCTTAGTATATAGTGCATAGTATATATTTCTACCACCATCCGTATCTATACATAAAAGATTAAAGAAACACTTCCAGACACACTAAAACATCCTTAACAGAATAATACAATAAAATAATAATAATATTTTGATGCGCATTGCAAAGTAGCACTCTTTTGTTACTATGACATTGCATTTAATCTCACATTTTCAGTATAATAGGCTTTATGGAGATTGGTTTGAAACTATGAGTTGTACATCATCGTACATTCATAAATATTTTTTACATTCATTTAGCCTGTGGAGTTGACAAAACTTGATTTCTTTTTTTTTTTACCCAACAGATTTTATTAAGGAGGTGAAAGGGCGCCTACACTGAGGAAGGACGGAAGAAGAAGAGGAGGAGGAGGAAGAAGAGGAAGAAGAGGAGAAGAGGAAGAAGAGAAGAAGGGAAAGAAGAGAAGAAAGAAAGAGGAAGAAGGGAAGAAGAAAAGAAGAGAGAGGAAGAGGAGGAAGAGAGGAAGAGAGTGGCCTTATATAGACCTGGGGTTAGGAGGTTGTACATCAGAGCTGGGGGAAGAGGTCTTAACCTATCAGAGGCTATGTTGCCTTTTAAAATTCGCGCCTTGCAGGAAGCTCAGTTTCGACTTCCTTTAACTGATTTATGACCTTGGGTGGGGCAGCAGGGAATGAAGAAGAACCCAGAAGAGCCATGCAAGATGCAAGATGGCGTGGCATATTTCTAACATTCCCCCCTCTTTGGTTTTTTAAAAGAAAAAAAAAAGAAGAAGGGCCCGCTTTTGTGGGAAAAGGGGCGAAGGTCAATCTTCTGGAGCCACTTCCTGCTGGTGAGGGGCATGGCGTCTTTGGAAGAGGGGCCTTCCAGTCTATACATGCACTGGAGTTTGTCTCTTGTAGTACCAACTTCAGAGATGCTGTGTTGTTTTGCCTGGTTGGTGATTTGTAGTATGTAGAGGTCCCCGAAGAAGAGGCTTCTAAAGGTATCGACTGGACATGTCTGGCATCTGGTGTTCTGGGACCTGTAAGACAGGCTGGGTTGCAGTGATTAGGGGAGGGAAGTGAGAACAGGGAAACCTAGGTGGCCAAGGTATCTTATTAGTTGGGTGGTCTCCACGAGCGCAAGGGAATCTCTTCTAGGTCTTGGCTTGAAGGATCATTTGGTTTGCTGTCTGTCACAACATTTGGGTAGATATCTGGAGGACCTGTGATTGAATGAAACAGAGAACACAGGGGGCGATGGTAACAATCAACATGGTGGAGATCAGGGGGCCCAAGAATGGTAGGAGCCAGGATAGGGAGTCCGAAAGGAGGGAAGAAAAAGGTGGACCATTGTTAGTGGATAGATGTTGATCTACATTAGTTGCCCTCTCAATGAGTCTTTTGGCTGCATCTTGTACTATACCTGACTGATTTATATAGAAACAACATTCTTCTCCCAGAAATAGGCAAAGACCTTTTTCTGCTGTTAGTAAATCTAATTCTTCTCCTGTTCTGAAGAGTGACGGCTGCAAGGGAGTTGAGTAATCTCCCGCAGTTTATCAAAGTTAACAGCTTTATGTGAAATAGCCTATAGGCCCGCTAGGAGACACTGGAGCATTTTGTCTCTACTGGTGTGTGGCCATTCTGCCCAGATTGGGTGTCTAGTTGGTATTCCCATCCAGGGTTCTGATCAAGAACAGCTTCTGGACCTACTGGCATGGTAGAGTCAGTTACAGGAGTTAGGTTGGTGTGTTCCTGAGCAGCCCCAAGAACACGCTCCCTTTTGTCAGAATTTAAAGTGGAAGAAAGAATGACATAAATGTCATGCCAAGTTAAGTCATAGGCTTGAGAGAGGTAATGAAATTCCTTAATGTAGGTGGTGGGATTGTGAGAAAGGGAACCCAGACATTTTTAATCTGAGATAAATTGGTGAGGGAGAAAGGAATATGGACACAGACAACAACTTCAAAGTCAGCCACTTCACATAAGGGACAGAGAAGGGGCTGTTGAGAATGGGTGTGGCTGCTCACTGGGAAGGGTAAAAAAAGGACTCTGGGGAAGTGGTGTCTGGAGATGTTAATGAAGAGGAAGGTGGGGGTGGCGGGGATGGTGCAGTGGGGTTAACAGGAGGTG